ACTTAACCTATTTAATAGCTTTTGTTGTTGTTAGGCCTGTAAAGTTGGCTCCAACTCATAGCAACCCTATGTACAATACAGCAAAACACTGCCCGGTCCTGTGCCAGCCTCACAATCCTTGCTATATATAATAGTTAGTGAACATATTTACCAAATGTCATGTATAATAGCTAAAACACTTTGTGTATTTAAAGTTTTACTAAAATAAAACTAAGTTCAGAAAGTTAACTGTAAGATGGGAGAGAAGTTTAAATTCATAGGTCATTTAGTAATTTATAAAGTATTTTACATTGAGTAAAGAAATTTATCTAAGGAATCACTATATGCAGTTCTTTTTTTAAAAAAAGAGATGCTTTGGAAATGTTGTTGTTGCGTGCCATCAGGTCGGACCCGACTCATAGCGACCCCTCCTTGGGTTTCTGAGGTGGTATCACTACGGAAGTAGATTGCCCAACCTTCTTTTTGAGGAGTGGCTGGTGGGTTTGAACTACCAGCTTCCTGGTTAGCAGTCAAGTGCCTTAGGCACTATGCTACCAGAGCTCCTACTTTGGAAAATAGATGATAGTAATGATTACACAATATGGGGAACATCATTAGTGGTGCTGAATTGTCCATGTAAAAATGGTTGAAATGGCTAATGTTTTGCTATATACATTTTACCACACACAAAAGAATACCAAAGCAAAAAAAAAAAAAGATACAGCATTGATGCGATACAAAGACAGCATGATTTTGCCATGATACCCGTTTTGGAGCCATAGGACTTTCATTGGCTGATGTTCAGAAGTAGATCACAAGGCTTTCTACCTATGTTAGTACAGAAGCTCTGTTGATTTGGGGACGAACTTGATGGACGCTAACAACAAGGACATCCCCCACTATGTGAAAGTTGAAATTAACTAATTATGTGGTAACAATATTATGCACATAGATCTACTCTACTTTAGGGTCTGGAAATAGAGGAAAGTCTATGCAGGCGTCTCCCTTGTATGTATTTTCCATTGTCTGCTCTTCTCTTGTGCTCCAAGGGGGGTCCCATGTTTCTGTTTCTCACACAGCTACATGGTCCCACCAAGATGGCTGCTATACTGGGGCAGTAATGAAACCACAATGGTATAGAAGAGGCATACTAAGAGGATGTAGGGTAGTGGAGTTTTGGGGAGAGTAGGGCTTTTGGTAGCTCTTCTGAATAGGAAAAATTTTAGTTTCAGTGCTTGGGTAAGAATGGAGCTCTGTGTATGGTATCATTTTTATTTTTCACTATGTACTTTATGGTGGTAAGAATAGTTATGATAGTGTAGAAAAGCCATTTAAACTAATTTTTTAATGCAGGTTAACACCTAACAATATCACTACTTCAATTTAATTTATGTTCTTTGAATTAAAGTGGATTATTTAACAAACTGCCTATGTTCCCTGACTCCTGTTCATAGTGCCTGGGGTTAAAAAACATCCACCAGTTACAAAATGCATGAGAGTGAGAATAACTTATGTGGATAGGCTTCTATGCACCTGTAAGTCATGTTCATTCTGTCATTCACATTCAGTCAGTATGAAAATTTTCCTGAAAGCCTGCTCTGTGTATGGTGTCATAGCAGATAACGTGTAAACGTTATAAAGGATATAGGAAACTTGTGCCTGCCATCCAGGAAATAATATTGTTAGCTCAGAAAAGATTAAGGAGTTATTTTGCTTGTTTTGATTCCTGGGGAAATTCACTTAAATAGATAAAATTGATTATGCTGGACCCTAGAGGCCAAACTAGGGCCTTCCAAAGAGGCACTGTTTATGAAAGCACCTCCCATTGTCACTGGGAGGCTGAGGAAAGAAGTCATGGAAGAGAGAAAGAAGAAAAGAATAGAGAGGGACATATGCATAGGGGAGAGAGAAGAAATACGGATGAAGGAAAGAGTCTGTAGAGTGGGTTGTGATACAGATCCCAGCCTAATCCTCTGTGCCAGTGCCTAGGACTTCTGAGGCTGTGGTGATTTATTGTACTCCTGAGGCTGTCTCACAATCAGATGTGTTTTCTTCTCCTGAATGACTGGCCATTTCTCACGAATGTAAGAATAACCAGCCTTCCAATCTGGTATGTACTTCATGGGTGGTTTCCCTTAACTTTTCCTCAAACATGCCTATTAGGCTATCTATAAACAAGCTAAAAATACATGGAAATCCCCAAGGAGCTGAAGGCAAAAACCTTTGCAAGACCCTAAGGAAAGTGGCCAACTTTTTGATGTTGTAGTTCTAAACAGTGATGAAGCCAGCTTAGTATGATTTTGATTTCCAGGTGCTCTAAAGGCACTCCTTCTCCCTCACCCTCTCCCCCAAGCAAGCATTTGTTTACTGATGCCTGAAATTGATTTTTCAGGGGACAGAATTCTTCATTTAATAATAGGAAATTATTTAAAATACATATTCATTCTCTTGGGTGAAGCAAAACATTGACTTCAAGTCATCATTTGGGGGGATATTGAATCTTTTCTCAGAGCAGGGCAGGGAGAACAGGTGCTCCATTCTGAGGGCTAGTCACATGGGGGAAGCTATAGATGAAGAACTCAGACTGACTGTTTGCCAGGTTTTAGGAGTGTTCTTCTGCTGACTCCTTAATGTGGCTCACAAGAACATTTTCATACTGGCCCTGCTAACTTCTCTGCCTCATCTCTCACCAGTAACCTCAACCCTATCTGCTACTAAACCCTGCAACACTCACAGCATCTTGAACTACTTTAAGGAATGTGAACTTGCAAGTTTTCTACAGTTGTCTCCTCTGCCTGGATCATATTGTCCACCCCACACCTGTCCCTTTCACCTGGCTCACACCAACTCACTCTTTGTGTCACAACTTAGATGTGACTTCCTGTAGGAAGCTTTTCCTGGCCTTCCAAAGCTAGCCCAGTTATCACCCAATGGGTCACCCAAACATTTCCATGACACTGATTATGACACATGTTACACTGAGGGATAGTTGTCTGATTTCTTGTCTGTTGTCCTCTCTAGACTTTTATTACCTTGAGTATATTCACCATTGTATTCCCAGAACCTATCAAAGTGCCTAGAGCAGAATAAAGATTCAATTAATGATTATTGAATAAGTGGCTTAGTTACTTTCATTCTGAATTTATTGTCAAAACAGGGGGAATGTAGTTGGAGGAGAAGTCTGTCCAGAGATGTTGGACTTAATTCACATGTATACTTCCCTTCCTACTGAATACCCCTTGATACATCAGAAAAGATATAAAGAAATGAATAAATATGTATTAATTCTTATATTTGTCACAGTAGAGTAACTTCTTTGCATGAAACAACCCTAAGTTTCAATGTGTTAAAACGATAAGTTCATTTTATCCCAAGTCATAAACAAATACCAGAGCTGAGATTGAGTGGGGAATTGTTGCTCTTTCCATTCTTGGCACCTATCCTATGATGAGGGAAGAAACAAAGCATGGAGGATCACATGGGAGAAATTTTAGGGGCCATTCTGGGAGAGGAGTACATTCCTCCTGCCTTAACATGTCTATCACATGTTCCCTCCTTATTGCAGCAGGAAAAGAAAATAGCAGTTGGCAAACACAGTCCCATGGCACTGGAAAACAAGGAAGGAAGACTTCAACAATCCAGAAATTTTGAGGAATTTCTCAATGCTATAAAGCAATTGGGATTGGATTGTTGGAGATGAATGAACAGAGCAAAGCACAGCAGAAAAAGAAACTCAATGTAAAATTCATGCAGGAGAAAATTACTGCAAAAATAAGATCAAGTCCAAATATATTTCAAGATCAAAGTCAACACATACAAAACACAGGAACTATTTTTGGACAAATGTTGGAAAATTGATGTTTGAAATTGCATTCAGGAAAAGCTGGGCTACCCTACACTGAACTATGGAGACTTCCAGTGTTTGCCCTGGGAGAACACCTGGTGTAAGTTTGGGGGCTAGTCAGCAAAGTAGAATAAAATATAAAGCAATTCTAGGATTCCACAAAGACAGCAGAAGTAAAAGAAAGTAAATATATAACTCTATTATTTTTTCTCAGGTAAAATTATTCATTGTATCTCACTAGAGTAGGATTCTAAACAGGCAACACAGAACGGGTACTGGCACCTAAAAAGCAGAACAGGACCAGGTAATTTATCATCCCCCAGAGATATGGTAAACCATTGCACCCAGAAGATAAGATTTAGATACACATTGTCCAGCCACACATCCTGCTCCGTCTCCACAATCACCATAGGGAGAAGACTGTAATCATAATGACAAAGAGAGATTCTCAAAGACAAATCTGAATAGACATCTAAGAATGACCACATTTTTAATAAAAACTAGAATCTGGAGAGCAAAGTTAAAAGAGGAAACAGATGAAGAATTTAAAATATTTATAACTAATGTTCTCAGACTTATGAGCCTGTGATAGCCATAAAACAATAATTGTCTGCAACAAAAAGGGATAGTCAAATTGGTTGGAACTAAAAATGTTATCAATGAAAAAATCAGTAGGTGGATTACTTAGTGTTCCGAGACAATTCTCCATAGGTCTTTTACATTTCTAAATGTCTGCGTAGTAAGGTACTGACTGTCCTTTGTTTTACGCCACCTTTTTAAGGATGCTTATTTAGCAAACATCTTGGGGAAAAAAGATAAAATGTCTCTTTCCAGATCAATTGTTGAACATATATTTAGTATTTAAAATAAAACAAAACAAGTTTCACTCTGGAGCAAAGGAAAGACAAGCTTACTGCTTATTATAAAAGATTCAGGATCCCTAAGCTCAGATTTCTTTCTGTTCTTGCAGCCCCCATGTGTGCAGGTATCATCTGGTCATTTTGCATCCCGCTGTGGGAATTGGGACTTGAGAAATCAGTACAAATGCTGATACTCTAGCTATTGCTATTCTGTGAGTAATAAACATATTTATTCTTCCAGTACCCATGAAATGTGTTAGACTAAGTTACAAGTAGGGTAAAAACTGAGACCATTCACAATTTGTAACAATTAGCAAAATAGAAATGCTAGGAGCCCTCGTAGCATAGAGGCTAAGGCACTTGACTGCTAACCAGAAGGCTGGCGGTTCAAACCCACCAGCCACTCCGCGGAAGGAAGGTTGGGCAATCCTACTTCCGTAGTGATACTGCCTCGGAAACCCAAGGAGGGGTCGCTATGAGTCGGGGCCGACTCGATGGCAAATAACAACAACAACAAGGAGCCTAAAATAGTAAGCTGAAAGATCAAATCAAGGTATTCTCCCAGAATTCAGCCAAAATGGTTAAATATGGAGTATTAAAAAGAAAATGGAGTATGTATGGTTGTTGATAGACATGGAAGATAGATCCAAAGACTGAAATATGAAATGGGATTCTGAGAGAATAGAGAGAAATAGATAATCAAGAAAAAATAGAACACTTTTCCTAACCTCAAGAAAGACAAAAGTATTTAAATAAGAAGACCATCTTTTAAGTTACAAAATTAGTAAGTAATCATTACAAAGGGAAGAGAGTGCATCTTCAAGGGTAAAGTCTGGCAGAGACCACCTTAAGCAAGCAATCATTCATGCTTAACTAACATTAAGAACAAACTGATTCATCTGTCTCCTGACGATGCACTAAGGACACAGTATCACTTCAATAATATTCTTGCCAAAAATGTTTACTCTGAATATAACATACGGTATTAGAGCAGTTGACTTTTCATTTGGGCTAAAAATTTGTATTCTTATATTACACCATATGCAAAATTATATTACAGATACATTCTAAAAACCAGATTCACTGCCACTGAGTTGATTGCGACTCACAGCAACCCCCATTGGGTTCCCAAGGCAGATCTTTAAGGAAGTAGTTTGCCTCCTCTTCCTCCCATGGAGCAGCTTCTGGTTTTGAACTGTCAGCCTGGTGGTTGGCAGCCAAATGCCTTACCCACTGCACCACTGGAGCTCCTACAGATGCCTTAAGGAGGTAAATATTTTTAAATTCTATAAATACTTTTTAAAAATAAGCAAGCCATAAAAGTGAAAAAACAAAACTTTTACTCAAATCACAATAAAAACTTTTTAAAAAGTCAAAAGATATAAAGCAAATGAGAACAGCTTTGACTAAAAATATTAATTTGCTTATAAAAAAATATATTATTAAAAAATTAACAGACATATGAAAGATTAGAGGAGCTCTGTTTGTTCTATGGTTAAAAATATTGGGCTGCTAACCAAAAGATCAGCAGTTCAAACCTATTGGCCACTCCGCAGGAGAAAGATGAGGCAGCCTACTTCTGTAAAGATTTACAGCCTTGGAAATCCTCTGTGGCAGTTCAACTCTGTCTTGTATGGTTGCTATGAGTCAAAATCAACTTGATGGTACTGGATATGGTTTTGTTTGGTTTATGACAGACTAGGAAATATAAGTAGTGTATATAATAGACAGGTGATCAATATCTATAATATCACGAGGACCCTTGCAAATCAACAATAAAAATAACTCCATTGTTTTAACGAGCAAATAATATGAATAGGAAATATAGAGAATAAGAAATACAAATGAGCAATTAACATATAAACATGTTTCTTCAGTAGTAAAATAAATAAATAAATAAATAGAACTGAAATGAGATTCTCTTTTCCCCCATCAGATTAACCAAAAATGAAATACTGAAAGTATGAAATGCTGGCAGATATATGAGAAATGAGTCTTCTCATTTACTGTTAGGGAAAGTGAAGTATAAATTAGCATAGTCTTTTCAGAAGCCAATTTGACAATGTTCATTAAAATACAAAACATGACTATATATACTTTGTCCCAGCATTCTACATCAAAGGATCTATCCTATACAAAAACTGGCAAATGGTAGTAAAGGGAAGAATTACAATCTAAATTCCTTAGTACAGAATACTACACATCCATTAAAAAGTATGACATAAATCAAGGTGTTGCTATGGTTGTTGTTGAGTTGGCTTGAACTCATAGAAATCTTATGGATAACAGGACAAAAAACGTTACCTGTTTTTTGTCATCTTCATGATCTTTGCTGTATTTGAGTCTATTGCTTTGACTGTTGTGTCATTCCATCTACTTGTTTTCACTGACCATTTACCAACCATGATGGACTTGTCTAGCAATTGATCTTTCCTGATGACTTGTCCAAAGTAAATGAGCCAAAGTCTCACCATCTCACTTCTAAGGAGCATTTTGCTTCTGTTTCTTCTTGTTGCTTCTTTGGGCAGTCTACACTACTATATCCAATATTCTTCTCCAATACTAGAGTTCAAAAGCATCAATTCTTTTTGTCTTCATTTTTCGTTGTCCAGCTTTGTATGCATATGAGGTGATTGAAAAGACCATGGCTTGGGTCAGGTGCACCTTAGTCCAAGTGATATATTTGCTTTTTAACATTTAAAAAAAGTCTTTTGCAGTAGTTTCTCCCAATGCAACACATTATTTGATCTCTTAACTGCTACTTCTATGGACATTGATTGTTGATCCAAAAAGAATTAAGTCATTGTTAATTAATGACTCATTAATCCTGAGTTTGTTTATTAATCCAGTTGTGAGGACTTGAAAAGATCTCTAAGCCATACTGGAAGGGAAAAAAGCAAGTTGCATGATAGTATGTATTCTATGATTAATAAAAATTTAAAAGATATATGTAATTTGAGATTTTACTATATATAAAGCTCAGTCTTAGCTACTGAGTTTATAGAGTCAAAGAACACAGATAAGTTTCCTGGCCTCACTCACTAAGTTTACATGCACTGTTTGGAGATGGTAGCAATGATGTGTCTGGGGATAACAAATAAAAACTAGTAAGCAAATACATAAACAAGGTAAATTTTGATAGTTATAAGTTCTATAAAGGCAATAAACAGGAAATATATCCAGAAAGTGACTAGAGGCTGTCCAGCATAAAATCAGTGCTATCAATAAACGAGAGCAATTATTATTGCATGCAGAGTAAACTTGACACCATATATATTCTGAAATTGAAAACCAGTTGTGGTCAAATATCCAAGGTTTTAATTTTTGTTTATCCACATTAGCACAGTTCATTCTAGAAGGCACAGAAAATGAGTTGTTATTGTTAGGTGCCTTTGAGTCATTTCCGACTCATAGCAACCCTATGCACAGCAGAACAAAACACCACCCCATCCTGTGCCAGCTCCACAATCCTTGCTATACTTGAGCCCATTGCCACAGCCACTGTGTCAAGCCATCTCATTGAGGGCCTTCTCCTCTTTTGTTGACCATCCAACATCCTTCTCCAAGGAATGATCCCTTCTGATAACATGACCAAAGTAGGTGAGACAAAGTCTTCTTGCCACCAAGGAGCATTCCGGCTGCACTTCCTCCAGGAAAGATTTGTTAGTTCTTTTAGCAGTCCAGGTACTTTCAGCATTCTTCCTCAGCACCACAACTCAAAAGCATCAATTCTTCTTCGGTCTTCCTTATTCATTGTCCAGCTCTCACATGCAAATAAGGCAATCGAAAATATCATGGCTTCTGTCAGGCACACCTTAGTCCTCAAGGAGACATCTTTGCTCTTCGACACTTGAAAGTGTCCTTTGCAGCCAATTTGCCCAGTGCTAAAATGGGAGCTCTGGTAGCATAGTGGCTAAGACACTTGCCTGCTAACCAGATGGCTGGCGGTTCAA